CCCACCTTTTGGGGTCCCCTTCTCACAGTTTAGGGGTGACCCCCAAGTTACGGGGCGGAGGGCGGGGCGGGGAGGAAACCCTGGGGTGCCCAAGAAGGCTTGTTTTTCCCTTTCATTTCACTTGTCATTTTATTATTACCTTTTAAGTTTGCTCGCTTTTATTTTTTTTCTTTAATTTTTTGTATTTTCTATTTCCTTCTTTATTCCTTTAATTTTTTATTCTCTTTATTTTTCATTTTCTTTTCTTTCTCGTTTGCTTTTTATTTTTTTAGTTCTTAGTCCTCCAGAGAGGAAGAAAGAACACTGCAGCTCCTCTGGGCCACAGAAAGGCTACCCTGCCCTTCCCTTAAACACAAGGCCTGCAGCAAGGAGTGCCCTGGAAGCCCGCTCCGCTCCTGCCAGGCACTGGGGCTCACCCCCAGGGGGGCTTTGCCAGCACCCAATGGAAATTAAAATTACAGCCTGGGCAGGAAATTCAAATTACAGGCCAGTAGGACCGCTCCTGGTCAAGGCCACCGGTCCGTGCAAGTCAGACCACTGACCACCCGGGGGGGGGGAAATCAGGGGCACACTTCCAGCTTTTATTCTCCAGAAATTCCAGTTCTTTCTGGCACAGCTTGCTTCAGTCTTCCCCTGTTGGAAGAGGTCACTTAAGACTTTCGAGGGGCCAGATTGCCAAAGCCCGGCCGGTCCATTCCCACGAGGAAAGGTAGATTTGTCTTGGACAGGATACTGGGGGGGGAGACACAAAATAAAAGTTTAATTTAAAAGAACTGCCTAGAATAGAAAGCAATTCAAACATAAGGCAGACAAGACTCGTGCAAATCTGAATACATTTGACTTCAAAGGAGAATTATTTCCCTCTGCACCTAACAGAATGTCATTTTCACCCAGGTCCTGCTTACCATCGTCGAACAAAACACGCTGACAAAATTTTTCCTGATGACAGTGGAGAGATATTAAGAGCACACTGCACAGGGAAGCTGAGCCTGCCCCATCCCTGCAAGTGTTCCAGGCCAGGCTGGATGGGACTGGGAGCATCCAGCTGGGGATGAGAGCGGAAGGTGTCCCTGCCCGCGGAAGGCAGGCTGGCCTTTGAAGGTCCCCTTCAAACCAAATCGCTCTGGGATTCCCCTCCAAAATAACTACCCAAGAGACACAGCAATCAAAGCAGAAGGACTGCACTCCCAGCTTTTCTTACCTGCAGGCACACAGCACGTTGGACATAAAAGCCACAGGGTTAGTCCTGCCAGAGGTGTCCAGCACATCCACAGCAACTGAAGGAAAAAAGGAAGCCTGGGAACACAGAGTAAAAGACACTTTAATTAGGAGTACACTGAGCAATAGCCAGGTCATTCACACAGACAGCTTCACTGTCCAGTCATACAAAAAGCACTCACCAGGGCCTCAGGATGGTTCCTGACGCTGACCAGGTGAATACCTCCCTGGAAGCCCGCTCTGCTCATGCCAGGCACTGGGGCTCACCCAGGGGGGCTTTGCCAAGCATCCAAGGGAAATTAAAATTACAGCCTGGGCAAATGCACTGCTGGCAGGACTGCTCCTGGCCAAGCTGGCCGCTCTGTGGTAGTCAGACCAGTGACCACCCAGGGGGATTTTCAGGGGCATACTTCCAGGTTTTTTTCTCTAGAAACTCCAGTTTTTTTCTGGCACTGCTTGCTTCAGTCTTCCCCTGTTGGAAGAGGTCACTTTAGTCTTTTTGGGGGCCAGATTGCCAAAGCCCAGCCAATCCATTCCCTCCACACTCCCTCGTGCTCAGGGGCCGAGGGGCAGCGGCCTGCCTCGCACAGGCCCTGGGGCTCACCTTCAGGCCGTCTGTCCCAAGGCTGGAGTGATCCTGCCATCAGCCCGTGGCCACGAGTGGCACAGAAAACCCAGGGCCAACAGCAACTCCAGGCAGCTGCAGGAAGATGTTATCCCTTCCCAGCTTTTTGGGAGTGGAGGGGAAGGTGCCTTTCCCCATCCAGCAGTGGCAGTCGTCCCCGCCTCAGAGCCCGCCCCGATCCTGGGCCTTCTCGGAGACAATTCCCCTGTCACAGCCCACGTCCTGCAGAAAAACGTTAGGGTTGAATGCGTTTTCCGTTGTCTTTTTAAATTTTTATTTTATCCTTAAATTTCGTTATTATTCTCTCGAAAG